AAAAAAGGGGGTTCGGATAGAAAAAAAAGGGAAAGGCCGCCCAAGGGTTGGCTGCGCTTGCGGACCCCGTACCGAACCTGAACCTGAACCTGAACCCTGAACCTGAGACCTGAGACCTGAACAGTCCTTTCTCTTAAGGGAATCTCATCATCTTCTTCCTTCTCCAATCGTCGTGGTGGTGCTACGGCTACTTTATCCTCTTCCCTTAGCTTCTCTCAGAGCGTTTCTCAATGTGTCGCCTTCTCCTCCGGTAATCCCTATATACCCTATACCCTATACCCTATACCCTAAACCCTAAACCCTATACCCTATACCCTAAACCCTAAACCCTAAACCCTAATTACAATGCATATATATACTTCTTCATCTTCTATAATTGACTTTGAATGTCCTTTTTTTACCCTCTTCAGTTTCATGCATGTTTCTTTGAGTATAGTGAAAGCCTTCTTCTTTGACATGGCCTAGTTCTTGTAGAACCTCCTCCGTACTTCTTCACTCAAATGCTGAGCCCACACAGTACTTCGAGTACTCAGGCCGTCGGGTATCTTCACGTACCCAACAACCACCATCGGAGGTGTCTCAATCATAGTAACAGCTTCACATGTTTCCTCCTTGTGATGCTCTGTCAGTTAAATTAACAAAGATCAGCATAAAACATTTGCACTCATTTTAAAAGAGAGTGAGAACACACGTGATCCAGGCTTTACTACTTCTCTCACAATGTGAGTCATCCCAGCTTTATATCCCAAGAAATGGACCTGCAAGGCTTAGTAGGATCATCCTTAGGGAAGGCTGCCTTCACTAGAAACACAAACTAGGCATGTCAGGTAAGACTACACAAAGCCATCTGAAATTAAGATGCTTAGGAAACATGTATGAAACAACATGCTAGAAAATCAGAGATTTATCTGGTCTTAACTCCTTGGTTGATATATGATAATGGCATTGGTGGTACCTATCAGGAAAATGTACTTTTAGATTTCCCCCTCGCTATGTATATTATTATCTACCATTGGTTTTTCATGTTAAAACATTTCTGAGTTTGAGACATATAACATTGCTATGCAATAAAGACTCTAACTCCAAGAACTGAACATTCGACCTTGAACTTTAAATTTTATTGTGGATATGGGAATTCGAAAAATGATTCATGTTTCAATACAAACGTTGTAGACGAGACCCCAAAACAACCAAAAGGCGTCACAAGATGTTATAGTAGGCAAAACCTAACCACATATGAACATCAATGGAGGCCAGACTTGGACTACATTTAGAGAGAACAGTTAAAGGGATGGCTACTTCATTAGAGCCTGCAAGGATTTGGACAACTCTTTGCACTTTAACAAAATGGTCTGCGGGATATAAACGATGCATCTTTCTAAAGCACAAGAATAAATTACGAAGGATACAACTGAAACTTATGGATAACATGATTTTGGACCGGATAATTCATGACAATCCAGGTTTCATACCAATCGAAAACATCCCTTATGGCTGCTGACAAGCTTTAAAAAGGGCCCATTGAATGCCAGAGTTTCCACTAAGGTTATTGAAACTGTCATATTTTCTTTGCCTCGGTCCGACCCTATCATCATATTCGGTTTAAAAATGTTACAGCTCAAGCTAGTTCTTATGTATACAGATCTGTAAAGGAAGAGTTTTGTTGTATGAGAGTGTCAACTTATACACAAAACTGACTGAAAAATAGTTAATGGGTCTTGATATGGTGGCGTGCCTTCTAGAACAACCAATGTTTTCTCTTTGCCTTATGCTGAACTGGAACAGCTACACTCAGAAAGGAAGATCATAATCAGTGTCATCAAGCACAAAGCCACAATTTCGTTACATTCCCAAAGCACAAAACAAACCTTGAATATCGTATAAAGAGTTATAATGCACCTCTGACCAGAAACTTAACCATAACTCTGCACAATTGCAAAAATAAAGAGTCACAACTTTGTAAAACTGCATTTGTCATATGTCACTTCAGATCAAATAGCACTATGTGAAAGTGAAAGGAAACTTTTTTTTGTAATCCCACCACGCTTAGGTGCTTGGTATTGAGGTATAATTTCAATGAAACAAGTGTCTCTAAAGGATGTCAGTAGGCATATCTTTGCTGCAAACTGCACAAGGGGAGATGCAAAGGAAATATAATTAAAAAGGAAAGGAAAATTACTGGCTATTTCTCATAGCACTGGTCCAAGTGCCCAAAAACAAAGTCTTTATGTGGTTACGTTACATTGCTTCTCAGGAAATGTGAAGTGTTCATCTATTTTATGTAAACATCCACATGGAAAAGTAAAAAATACATGAATAAGACTAGATAATAAACAAAAGAAACATAATTGTCTTCTTGAGAATCATAATAGCCAGCAGGTGATATAAGAACAAAGCAAAGATCATTATTTAAGTATATCTTAAGTATTTCGAGTGATGTGAACATTGAGACAAAAAGGAAACTTACCCTATCTGCTGCAGCTTGTAAGGTAATATGGTCTCCCCATTCTCCAAGTCTGTCATTTTAACTAATTATGAGTGTGAAACAGAACTTTCTCAAACAAACAAAGTATAGCTTAGAAGCCTAATGAGAAAAGAATATGTTTGTGCAACATACTTTCCCATCCTCTTGTAATATCGTTTGTATTTCATCGGAACATAACTTTCATACATAGAGCGACAGTCTTTGAGCTGCAACAAGAAGAAAAAAGAGCAACTAGGAAATGAGGCACGAAGAGAGATGTGTGCACTTAATTTTCAAGCAGATATCATTCTCGCAAAAGAATAACTCCAACTGCTACATGGATTAATAATAACCATAAAACACAATCACATAGATGGTTGCCTTTGTTCATCGCTCAGAACTCATAAGACACTTCACCTGTTTAACAACTTCTCTCCTAACTTGCTTGTGGTACTCTGGAGATCGGTATAACTGGTCAGAAACTGCTCGGAACTGAAAAGACACTCACAATTATCAATAGATATCAAACCGAGTAGAGGAGAGAGAGAACATAATGAGATGAAGAAGATTGTTTTAAATGTAAACTCCATTCACCTGGCAGTTTCCATCACCAGAGACTTTCAACTCACACAAACCGTAAACATTTAACCTACACAAACAATTAAACTTAAGAATTAACAATCAAAATGTGAAAGAAAGCATCCTATTCCTACGGAATTACTCTAAGCTTGTCTTTCTAGGAGTAAACATAATACAATAATTACACTAACATATTCACAATAACGACTGAGGTCCTAGATATACTGAGCAAAGGGGAAAAAGTGAGCATCAAAAATACCTTTGAAGAAGGCGTTGGTGATCCAAGGTGGCATCATTTAAGTTGGGAATATAACAATTTATTCGTGGAACATGCTGCAACCCAAGAACGTATATAAATATATATAGAGATAGTCAGGGAGAGAGAACTAAGCATGTGCAAATAAAATCTCTACCAATAAAACTATATTCCTTGTGAAGGGGAGATATAAAATGAGGATACGGAGGGACTCAAACATAACTTACAGGGACAGGAGCAAGATTTGAGAGGCGTCTGCCGACTGCACCGTCTAGTTTAGAATACTCTTCAGATAACATAAGAGCAATCATCCGATCATCTTCGGTATCATTTTTACTGCTCCTAGAGGTTGAACTCGAAGAGTCTCCCATGTTTTAAGATTCGTTCCTTACTAGTTGCTTCAGGAGGTGCGACTGGGACACACAAATGAATTGAATTGTTCAATTATTGAGTTATGACATAGCCTAATATATGTGTTCTTCATGAGGAAAAATTGATTTAGGAGATAATTAATATATCAACACAAGATCACGGTGCCGCAAGAAGATGACACAGAGCGTGAAAAAGGGGGCGCAAGGATAAAAGAGAACGGAAAGCAAAGTGTACATGTACATAACAAGGGGTGAAAGAGGACGAAATAAATGAATCGATTGGATCTGGGAATGCGCCAATCATCAGGACGACCGGATCTAAAACAGATGGAAAGAATAAGGATTCTAACGAGCAGAAAAGTTGAAACCTTTCGGGGCAAAGGAGACAGGAAGAGAAGCAAGCAGGTGCCGGCGATCTTTTCTTTGACGGCCTCAATGTTGGTCCAAAGTTGGGCTTTTTTCACCACTTAATTAAAGACAATGGCAGTTAGTACTTGGTTGGCGGGTATATTGACCTTCTTACGGCACTCAAGCAAAACCGCGTTCTTTTGTTCCACCCGTAAGTCAAACTCCCTTCTTTTTTTTTGGCGTCAAGTTCATTCCACTTTTTAATCCCAAAAAAAGTAACTTCATGATGTTATCCAACAATATCGTTCGACAAATCACGAGTCAATATGATTTCTTTGCAAAATGAACCTCTTTTTTTCCCTTGTACTTTACTATTTTCGTTAGTGCTCCCAAGTCTTCCTTAGTTCCTTTCTTTCTTAATTTACAACAACATTTGGATCCAGGTCATACATTTCAGTACCCAACCCTTCTCTTCTTGTTGTGCATTTCCTTGGATGTCAAATTGATAAGTTCCTTAGGTATGGCTGCTCCACTACTTTTTAAAGCGGCAACCAAATCAGGGAATAGGTTCCTGTCCTCCTCATTCACAAACAAAATGGCAGTGCCCTTCTCTCCCATCCTAGAGGCCCTGCCAATTACATGTATGTACTCCTTGATGGTACTAGGCATGTCAAACACTATCACTTGCCTTACCACCAAGAGGTCAACTCCTCGGCCTAGAACTCCTGTTGATACAAGAACAGGCACATCTCCACCCAAAAACGATCCCATTACATCTCTCCTCTCCTTCATTGGCTTCTCCCCATGGATCGATAGAGCTTTTACCCCCGTGACAACAGTTATAGCATTAGCTAGGAGATCTGCTCCAACTCTCGAACTCACATAAACAACAGCGGGGGGCTTGAAATGGTTTTGACTTCTGAGTATATCAAACAGCTTCTGTTTCTTTTGCTTTGCATCAACCCAGATAGCCAATTGGTTGACAGCCTTGTTAGGTTTGTTGGGATTACCTATGGATACCAAAATGATTTCCTTCGCTAGAGACCCTCCCACCTTTTCCACCTCTCTTGAGACTGTCGCAGAGAACAGCAAGACCTGTGGTTGTGACAAGGCCTGAAATATCTGCATCACCAGATCTCTGAAGCCTCTCTGAAGCATGCAGTCAACCTCATCCAGCACAAACGTCATGATGTTATCTAGTTCAATGGCGTGCTTTACTAGAAGGTCCACAACCCGGCCTGGGGTACCAATGATCAATTCAACACCTTGCTGAATGCGGTAGAGTTGTCCAGACATGGGATCACCACCTACAACAAGTGCGGTCTTAAAAGGCAGTCCCTTTCCGAGCACTTTTGCCTGATTTTCAATTTGGACACAGAGCTCTCTAGTTGGAGCCAAAACCATAGCCAAGGGGTTCCTCTGGTCTGAGGGATGCTCAGAGCGATACGTTGTACAACGAGAAATAATAGGAACAAGAAAAGAAGCTGTTTTCCCGGAGCCGGTGTCTGCTGAGGCGAGCAGACTATTGCCGCTTAAAGCAGCTGGGATCGCTTGCATCTGGATAGGAGTGGGAAAGTCATAGCCAGCCGTTTCTAAGTTGAGAAGAAGCTTAGGAGGAAGCCCACATGAAGCGAAAGTTAAGACAGGTGGAGGGACTGTTGCTTCTTGTCCTTGGACATGAATATCAAGCTTTCTTCTAAGCAGTTGAGCATCGGGGAAAGAAGATCCTGGGTCTCTAACATAGAAGCACTCATCTGTGGCAGGAAACACTGTAGCTTTATCAACCCTTCTCAGGAGTGTTTGCTTACACTCGAGGCTGCAGACGTCATCATTGGTCTCGTCACAAATGTACTCACCATAACGACTGCAGATAACACATTTAGGCTCCCCGGGAAGAGGGGCTCTTTGATCTATAGACTTTTGTTTGACAACATCTACAACAACGAGAATAGAAAAAATGGCGGATGAGTAAGCTCTGTGGAGGGTTAAAGGAACTCAATAAAACCGTATCAAACAGAAGAAGATGGATCAGGTCTCAGCTCTCAGTCAGAAAAGGAGAGGCGATGCAAGAGTTACGAATTACTATTAGGTACACAGACTAACCAGAGTTGTGCGGGATGCAGCCTTCTTCGTTCATTATTCAGAGACCCCAGCTTCTGTTATCGACATGCACAAGATGAATCAGCAAACCATCGACGACGAAAGGAAAATACCTAAAACATGGAACCAGAGCTCCCGTGCAACAAGATATCAATCTCAATGCTGCAACTGAAAGAAAAATAGAATCAAATCATCAAGGAGAGATATATAACCAGTATATTCGCAAACAGAAGGATTTTTCGATCGAAAGGTGGATTGATCAATCGTAAGGGGTCGAGAGGAAGAGGAAGAAGAAGATGCACAAGACAATTGGGCCCGGAAGGATATAGGACATCTAAATGGGCTTTTTACTGAGCCATAAACAATTATGTTCTTACATAAAATCATGCACTATTTAATTCCCACAATATACATGGATTTCCAAAACTTTCCCAATGGTCGATGATCTCAACGTGAAAGGGCCAGAGTTATGCCTCCTGTTAATAGACAACCTCGTCAAATAAGATTTGAGTGTGGGTAGCTGCTGCGAACAGGAGAAGATAGCAAGGATTAGGAAAAGGTCACCGCTGTTGACTCTTAAGTTGATGCAATCATATTGAGACGTATGTACCTGATTAAAATGCTGCCCTTGTAGATATTTATGCTAATTTTATTCTCCTCTCTTCTCTTCTGTTCTATGAAGAAAACTTCACAGCAACACAAGTGCTGAGGAGTCTCTCTTCTTTTAACACATCCTACAATTAAGAGAAACTGAGAAGGGGGAACTAATATTTGATAAGGGCAGGAAGTGATGCATGAAGTTCTGACAAGCACTGGAACATCCAGTTCAGTAACTGTTCTCTTGGTAGCTCCAACAGAAGTTCCGCCTGCACATATCATGTAAAGCCCTTAAGTTCATCTTAAGCGTGGCCTGAGATAGATTATGCAATCACCACTAAACTACTCATAAAGTACCATTATTTGATCGCCTTCGTATATCAAGGAGCTTCGGTAAACATCACAAGTCATGGAATCTGTGATCAGCTTGAACACCTTCTTACTCATATTTGTTTTCATGACAACCATCTTGCCTGATGCATAAATTCTGTTTACTCCAAGATCAGCCGCCATGCGTCTCACATACAGCTTCTTTAAAATGATCTCCATGGAGTAAGGCTCTTTCCCATATTGGCGACGCAGGTTCTCTGTGAATTGCATTAGACTCCACATATCTTTCTCCGCTGCTTTTTCAGCTTCATTAATGATCTCCATCGGATTTTCCAGGTAATTTACATACTCCGAGGGTAGCCGCGGATTTATATTTATGTCAATCTGGAAAACAGAGCAAAAAGAGGAATTAGAAAGGCATTAATTGCTACAGTTCGAGGCATAACAACTGCATTGAAATTTGAAGTTCTCCAGTTACTCCTGCACAAGTAACAGACCTAATAACTATCATATTCAGCCTTCATAATACACTTGGAAACATTCTGATCTTGTGTCATTTTTAATCTAAAGCAGCACCTTTCGTTGAAATGGAACATACCTTCACTAGGTCATATGGAACCGAAAAAATACGGAGTTCCTCCACCTAGAAACAACCAACAAGATTGACTCACAAGTCAATAACCAAGCCTAATTTTAAAAAGGATAAACAAAAGGCTCATCAGTGACATGATCAGTGAGAATGTAGAAGAAGACTTTAATCATAATATACCTTGGACAGACTCTCAAAAAGCATTTCAAAGAAGAGATCGATACCGACATTTCCAACATCCCCCGTCTGTTGTTCTCCAAAGATTGTCCCAAAACCTCTTATACCCATATCCCTCTCTGCAAGTTGGAAACCTTGTCCAAGTTCACGGCACTCTTCAAGAGCGCTAAGCCTTTCCTGCATAGTCAGCTTATACATTAAATGCCAATGTCTGCCAAGGAAATAGAACAAATAAAGTCACCTCCAATACCAGTGCTTGATCAGAGAGCAGCGATTTATCGGGATAAAATAGGTAGGCATGAGCTTCTTTATCTGCCCGACCAACCCTTCCACGCAACTGTTGACCGCAACAAGAGGAAGATATCTAAGAAGCTACTCACCATTTGTTGTGAAAGATAACTACAATAGAAATGACGCAAAAATAAATCAAACGAGTAACTTTGGCACCTGGTACAACTGAGCGAGCCCAAATTGTTGAACATCCTGAATGATTATGGTATTTGCATTTTGAATATCAAGTCCGCTTTCAACAATATTAGTGCATATGAGGATTTTGATCTTTCCTTGCGCAAATCTCTCCATGGTTTCCTCTAGTTGTTTCGAGTATTGCTGTGAATACAACAATGTAGCAGGAGAGCAACACAGTGCTTAGGAGGATTCCATGAATGAAATGTTCTATATCGTATGAATGAGAGCATCCAAGTGTCTAGTACCGCTAAGAAAGGGCACAACATACCTTTCCATGTGCCATAGCGATGTCAATATCCGGAAATGCTTCCTCTAGAAAATCCATCACTTCTTCTAGTCCTGATAAGGAAGAATAAAGTGGTAAATCAATAATGGAAAAATGTAAAGGCTGACAATGACAAAAAATATTCCATAGTCAAGAAGTTTCTGATTCTACTAGTCTCTAAGTTACGACCAAGAGCAAAGGTAGTCATATTAAGATATAACGTAGAGAAAGAAAAATCTTATTATGCATTCTACCTTTAATCCGAGGCAAGACATAGAAAACTTGGCCACCACGATCCAGCTCATTTTTTATTGCTTCTATCACCTTTTCCTTACGGAATGACGAAAGATGGGTTTTTATTGGAATCCTCTCCGGAGGCGGTGTGGAGATTAAACTAAAACAAAGAGGAAACAAAGGCTCATTAGTCTCATCAAATTCTATCAGTGAGCATATAATCTGAAACACATCATGTCGCAACCTGGCATCCC